ACGACGCAGCGATCGGCCAATGCGACATCACTCAGCAACGCTGTTGATCTTACATGCGCGAATGGGCCATGCTCCAGTCGACGTGCTTTGCAAGATGGTGACAAGCCACATGATCATGGACGCTCACATCCCTTCCAAGCCGAATGGATCAAGTGTGTCGAGGATGCCAAGAAGGGAAGATGGTCCAAAAACCATTCCCGAGCAACCGTGACAAGCGCACCTACAGCACCTTCGAGATGCTCCACTTCGACATCTGCGGACCCATGGAAGAAAAAATCTCTGGGTGGCAGCAAAGTATCTGCTGCTGATCGTGGATGAAGCCAGCGGATGCATGAAGGGTTTTTGTCTGCATTCCAAGTCAGAGAGCGAAGAGTGCATCCAAGAAGTACATCACGATGATACAGACGCAGTTCAACAAGAAGGTCAAATTTGTGCGACACGATGGAGCCCGCGAGTTTGCGACGAACTCGCTTCAAGATTTCTACGAAGTCGAAGGCATCGAGCAACAAACCACGGTGCCATACGCACATCAAGCCAATGGAACTGCTGAACGCGCGATTCGAACTATCGTCACCATCGGTCGTAGCATGCTCCATCATGCCAAGTTGGACAAGTGCTTCTGGGCTGAAGCGGCAATGACGGCCGTCTATGTGAAGAACCGTTTGCCGTCACCCAAGATTCCACACAAGACACCGTTCGAGATTGTCTACAGTTCTAAGCCAAGTGTCAAGCACATGCGCGTTTTTGGGTGCCAAGCATACATCTTGACCCCCGAAGGAGAAACGACTCAAGTGGGATCCCAAGGCCCGGGCTGGATTGTTTTTGGGCTACGAAGAAGTGTCCAAGGCGTATCGAGTTTACGACATCGAAGCGAGGCAGGTGATGATAAGTCGCGATGTCAACTTCGATGAGTCGGCCTTTGGAATGTCGATGATGATTTCCGATGACGATGTTGATGGTCTGGACTTCGAATCGATCGATCTTGATGATGAAGAACCGCGTCCGAGACACTTCAAACAAACAGGAAAGCGCAAGGCCCAACCCAGTCACGACAATGACGACGCAAGCATGCCCCGAGCAGTGCGCCAACGACCCGGATTGGAAGAGTCAAGTGCGCCGGATGACCTCTCTTCACGTCGAGCCAACGAAGATGAAGAAAGGAAGTCGGAGGAACAACATGACACACCGACTTCCTCCGCGTTTTGGCATGCGAGTGCAAACGCCGTCGAAGCAGCGGTCGATTTTTCGGAGCCGTCGACATTTGAAGAAGCAGTGTCTGGCCCGGACCAAGTACACTGGCGCAAGGCAATTGATGCGGAGCTCGATTCGATGAAGCTTCGCGGTGTCTTTCGTGCGGCCAAGTTACCCAACGGACAAAGCGCCATTGGCACAAAGTGGGTCTTCAAGATCAAGCGCAAGGCGGATGGGTCGATCGAGAAATACAAGGCACGACTTGTGGCCAAGGGTTTTCGCCAAAAGTATGGCATCGACTACACGGAGACGTTCTCGCCCGTGGTCAAGTATGTGACGCTGCGAATGGTCATCGCCATTACCAAGCACTTTGATGGCCCCTCGACCAGCTCGATGTGGTGACTGCGTTCCTGTATGGAGTGATGAAGGAGAAGGTGTTCTGCGCTGTTCCGGAAGGCGTCAAGATGGAAGGTGATTTTGACTGTCTCGAGCTGATCAAGGCGATCTACGGTCTCAAGCAAGCCTCGCGTGTTTGGAACGAGACCTTCGACGAGTTCATACGCTCGATTGGTTTTCAAGCGTCGGGATTCGATCCATGTCTCTACATCATGACTTCGGAAGGCCATTGTGTTTTTGTGCTGGTCTACGTGGACGATGTCTTGGTGACTGGAAGCTCGCTCGAGATGATTGCGCGCACCAAGAACGACCTCAAGACACGCTTCGAGATGAATGATAGCGGCAAGTGTGCATTGTTCTTGGGATCGAGTTATTGGACGGTGAAGATGGCAGCGTGACTATGTGTCAGCGTCGTTATGTCGACGATGTCCTCAAGCGCTTTGGAATGGATGAGTGCAAGGCTGTGGCAAGTCCGGTGGACGTCAGCTCTCGACTGGTTCCGAGCAACTCTGCAAGCAAGGTGGATGTCCCATTCCGTGAAGCAGTGGGTGCTTTGATGCATCTGACGACTGCAACGCGACCGGACATCGCCTATGCTGTAAGCTTTGTGTCACGGTTCATGGAGAAACCCCAAGAAGAACACTGGGTTGCAGTCAAGCGCATCTTCCGCTACCTACAAGGCACCAAGATGCATGGAATCTGCTACAAGCCAAGTGCGAAGATCGACTTTCGTGGCTATTCAGATGCAGACTGGGCCGGTGACCTTGCTGATCGCAAATCGACGTCCGGCTACGTCTTCATGCTATTGGGTGCTCCGGTGAGTTGGGGCAGCAAGAAACAGCCAAGTGTGTCACTGTCTACAAGCGAAGCGGAGTACATCGCGCTCAGCCTGGCGATCCAAGAAGGCAAGTGGATCAATCGCTTGCTGTGCGAGATCATGGCGGCTGCAAACGAAGAAGGACCCGAGCTCGTCATCCGTGAAGACAACCAGTCGTGCATCAAGATGACGAAGAATCCGGTCAACCACGGCCGCGCTAAACACATCGACATCAAGTACCATCACATCCGTGATGAAGTCAAGCGCGGCGAAGTGAAGCTTGAATACTGCGAGACGACGTTGATGTTGGCGGACATCATGACGAAGGGACTTCACGGACCGCGTCACAAGGACTTGACGGCGGCGCTTGGCATCCGTGCGTGTTCGGATTGAGGGGGCGTATTGAGGGTTACCGGTACAATCCGAACCTAGCGCGTAGTTCTTACGAGATAGTTTTTACATCGGTAATTACCTCAGAGATGATTAGACGCGTAGGATGATTGGACGCGTGTAAATCAGGTTGATTAGATGCACCATGTGATTGGATGCAGTCTAGGGTAGGCAGAAGTTAAGACCTATAAATCAATCACTTTCGAATCCTCCCTCAAGTGAGCAAGTGTTCTCTGCTTCGTTCTCTCCGGTCTCTCCGCTTCGTTTTCTCTTCGCCTCGCGCTCAAATTACGACACACTCGTAGACAAAAGCCCTTCATGCATCCACTGGCTTCGTCGATGATCAGCAGCAAATATTTGCTGCCACCGAGCGAATCCTTTTCCATGGGCCCGCAGATGTCCAGATGAAGTAGCTCAAACGTATCGTAGCTGCGCTTGTCTCGGTTGCTTGGAAATGGTTTTTGGACCATTTTCCCTTGTTGACATCCTCGACATGTAGTTGCTCCACCCGACTTGAGAGGGACTCGCACATCCTTGATCATGTTGGTCGCGATCATCTTTCGAAGTACATCGACTGGAGCATGACCCATTCTCGCATGTAGATCGGCACAACTGGTTCCACTTGTTGTCACATTCGCTGATCGTTGAGTCGTCCGAAGCCAGTAGAGTCCATCCACGAGATCCGCTGTCGCCACCACTTGCTGTGAGTTCTTGAGAGTCACATACATCTTGGACCCGTCAAACACGACTTGAAACTTGCCATGGCTGTTAATCTGTGGCACCGAGAGCAGGTTCTTGCTCATACTTGGAACATATAGCGCGTTCTTGATTTCGATCTCACGCTCTTCACCGTTAGGCAGAACCACCTTTTCCATGATGGTTCCCACACCCTTGATGGCCACCTTGTTGCCATCAGCCACCAAGAGTTCGCCCTCATTGCGCTCTGCCAAACTTGCGAACTTGGTCTTGTCGTGGCAAATGTGGTGCGTTGCACCACTGTCGACGGCCCACATTCCAGACACGTCCTTGCTCGTCGAAACTCCACATTCGAACGAGACTGCAAACGCCACTCGATCGTAGCCATTGCCTTCATCATGATGTCCCCACTGGACATTGTTAGCCCCGCGTCCACGACCATTGCCGCCGCGTCGAGCTCCCCGACCTTCGTTCTTCTGCTTTGTCCAGCAACGATCCACCGTGTGTCCCACCTTGCCACAATACGTGCATTGGTAGGGCTCACGCTCGGCGCTGAATGCCTTGCTTGCATCTTCAGCCTTCACCGTAGTCGCTGTCGTTGTCCCTTTTTCTCCTTGACGCTTGGCATGCTCATTCGTCAGGACTCTCACCACGTCTTGAGTGCGAAGCTCGGTGCTGCTCATTTCCATGTTGAGCACCACATTTTCGTAGCTCTTCGGAAGACTGAGTAGCAGACAAATTGCAACGTCTTCGTCTTCCATCTTCGCACCGATGCCGCTAAGCTTGGCGGAGATGTTGAGGACCTCGTTGCAGTGATGCATGACGTTCGCGCCTTCAGCCATCTTTAAGCTGAAAAGTTGCCGCTTGAGGTAGATGCGTCCTGCCTTCTGCGACCCACCGTACAGCGTCTTCAGACTGGTCCACGCAACCCAGGCTTCCTCGCAGTTGTCCAGCACATGATGGTAGTCCGCGTTCATGTGCAGCAGCATCATACCAAACGCGACGTTGCTTGCCTTGACGTAGTCATCGGACGCTCGCGGGTCGGTGAAAGTCGGAGTCACTTCACGGTTGACGACGTGCCAGACGGACTTCGTCAGAAACACACCGCGCATGTACCGGCTCCACGTTGCGTAATTGTCTCCGTTGAACTTGTCAATGGAGGCGTTGCTGGTGGACGACATGGCGCTTGGGCTCATAACCTGTTGCATTGTAGATCGGAGCGAGGAAAGCGGAGCGAACGGAGCGGAGAGACCGAAGAGAGTAGAGCAGAAAACACTTGCCCAATAGTTGGAAGATTCGAAAGTGATTGATTATCGGGGCTTACTACTTACTACATGATTTATATGTGGTGTACATATAAATCATGTGAAGCGTCTCATCATCCTACGCGTCTAATCAACTATGGTAATTACCGTAAGAACTACGTCGTAAATACTAAGCTGAACAGGCGGTTCGGATTGGATCGGTCACGGTTACCAATACTGGTAGAAAACCGATGACCGTCAACACATGCCAAGCGTCAAGGAGAAAAAGGGACAACGACAGCGACTACGGTGAAGGCTGAAGATGCAAGCAAGGCATTCAGCGCCGAGCGTGAGCCCTACCAATGCACGTATTGTGGCAAGGTGGGACACACGGTGGATCGTTGCTGGACAAAACCGAAGAACGAAGGTCGGGGAGCCTGACGCGGCGGCAATGGTCGTGGACGCGGGGCTAACAATGTCCAGTGGGGACATCATGATGAAGGCAATGGCTACGATCGAGTGGCGTTTGCAGTCTCGTTCGAATGTGGAGTTTCGACGAGCAAGGACGTGTCTGGAATGTGGGCCGTCGACAGTGGTGCAACGCACCACATTTGCCACGACAAGACCAAGTTCGCAAGTTTGGCAGAGCGCAATGAGGGCGAACTCTTGGTGGCTGATGGCAACAAGGTGGCCATCAAGGGTGTGGGAACCATAATGGAAAAGGTGGTTCTGCCCAACGGTGAAGAGCGTGAGATCGAAATCAAGAACGCGCTATATGTTCCAAGTATGAGCAAGAACCTGCTCTCGGTACCACAGATTAACAGCCATGGCAAGTTTCAAGTCGTGTTTGACGGGTCCAAGATGTATGTGACTCTCAAGAACTCACAGCAAGTGGTGGCGACAGCGGATCTCGTGGATGGACTCTACTGGCTTCGGACGACTCAACGATCAGCGAATGTGACAACAAGTGGAACCAGTTGTGCCGATCTACATGCGAGAATGGGTCATTCTCCAGTCGATGCACTTCGCAAGATGATCACCAACATGATCAAGGATGTGCGAGTCCCTCTCAAGTCGGGTGGAGCAACTACATGTCGAGGATGTCAACAAGGGAAAATGGTCCAAAAACCATTTCCAAGCAACCGAGACAAGCGCAGCTACGATACGTTTGAGCTGCTTCATCTGGACATCTGCGGGCCCATGGAAAAGGATTCGCTCGGTGGCAGCAAATATTTGCTGCTGATCATCGACGAAGCCAGTGGATGCATGAAGGGCTTTTGTCTACGAGTGAAATCCGAGAGTGAAGACTACATCCGGAAATATGCCACCATGGTACAGACGCAATTCTGTAAGAAGGTCAAGTTCGTGCGACACGACGGAGCTCGCGAGTTTGCAACCAACTCACTTCAGCTGTTCTACGAAGAAACGAAGGATTCTGGTGATTCAACACCGCCTGTGTTTTGGCGTGCGAGTGCAAATGCCGTTGAAGCAGCAGTGGACTTATCAGAACCCTCAACATTTGAAGCAGCAGTAAGCGGCCCTGACCAAGTGCACTGGAGAAAAGCAATTCATGCAGAGCTCGAGTCAATGCGACTTCGCGGTGTGTTTCGTGCAGCCAAGCTGCCCAACGGACAACGCGCCATTGGCACAAAATGGGTGTTCAAGATCAAGCGTAAAGCGGATGGATCTATCGAGAAGTACAAGGCACGACTTGTGACCAAGGGTTTCCGCCAAAAGTATGGCATCGACTACACGGATACGTTTTCGCCTGTGGTCAAGTATGTGACGCTGAGAATGGTGATCGCAATTTCCAAGCATTTTGGATGGCCCATCGACCAGCTTGATGTGGTGACAGCTTTCCTGTATGGCGTCATGAAGGAACAAGTGTTCTGCGTGATTCCTGAAGGCGTCGAACTTGACAGTACGTTCGACTGCCTGGAATTGGTGAAGGCAATTTACGGCCTGAAGCAAGCTTTGCGAGTATGGAACGAGACTTTTGACGAGTGTGTGTTCCATTGGATTTCAAGTGTCAGGCTTCGACCCATGTCTCTACATCAAGACATCGGACGGCCATTGCGTGTTTATACTGGTCTATGTGGATGACGTGTTGGTGACAGGAAGCTCACCCAAGTTGATTGCACACACCAAGGAAGACCTGAAGACACGCTTCGAGATGACTGATAGCGGCAAGTGTGCATTTGTTCTTGGGATCGAGCTTTTGGACGGTGAAGATGGCAGTGTGACACTATGTCAGCGTCGGTATGTCGATGATATCCTCAAGCGCTTTGGCATGGATGATTGCAAGGCTGTGTCAAGTCCAGTGGACATGAGCTCTCGACTTATTTCAAGCAATGCAGCTACCAAGGTCGATGCTCCTTTTCGCGAAGCTGTTGGTGCGTTGATGCACCTGACCACTGCAACGCGTCCGGACATTGCGTTTGCTGTGAGCTATGTGTCGCGGTTCATGGAAAATCCCCAAGAAGAACACTGGGTTGCAGTTAAGCGTATCTTTCGCTACCTACAAGGCACCAAGACGCATGGAATTTGCTACAAGCCAAGTGCAAGGATCGACTTCCGTGGATATTCGGATGCGGATTGGGCTGGTGATCTTACCGACCGCAAGTCAACATCGGGGTACACGTTCATGCTACTCGGTGCGCCAGTGAGTTGGGGCAGCAAGAAGCAGCCAAGTGTTTCGTTGTCCACGACTGAAGCTGAATACATCGCACTCAGCTTGGCGATTCAAGAGGGCAAGTGGATTCATCGTCTGCTTTGTGAGATCGTGATGGCTGCCAATGAAGAAGGACCGGAACTCATGATTCATGAAGACAATCAGTCATGTATCAAGATGACGAAGAACTGTTGACGGTCATCGGTTTCTACCAGTATTGGTAACCGTGACCGGTCCAATCCGAACCGCCTGTTCAGCTTAGTATTTACGACGTAGTTCTTACGGTAATTACCATAGTTGATTAGACGCGTAGGATGATGAGACGCTTCACATGATTTATATGTGCACCACATATAAATCATGTAGTAAGTAGTAAGCCCCGATAATCAATCACTTTCCAATCTTCCATCTAAACCCCAAGTGTCTTCTCCGGTCTTCCGAGTGGACTCTCAGCATCACTCCCAGTTTCGGTCGTCAAGCTTTTCACCATCAACAAGAACTCGGTCAATCACGGCCGTGCCAAGCACATTGATATCAAGTACCATCACATCTGTGATGAGGTCAAGCGCGGTGAAGTGAAGCTCAAGTACTGTGAAACTGCGGTGATGTTAGCGGACATCATGACGAAGGGACTTTCGGGACCTCGTCACAAGGAGATGACGACGGCTCTCGGGATTCGTGAGCATTCGGATTGAGGGGGCGTGTTGACGGTCATCGGTTTTCTACCAGTGTTGGTAACCGTGACCGGTCCAATCCGAACCGCCTGTTCAGCCTAGTATTTACGACGTAGTTCTTACGGTAATTACCGTAGTTGATTAGACGCGTAGGATGATGAGACGCTTCACATGATTTATATGTACACCACATATAAACCATGTAGTAAGTAGTAAGACCCGATAATCAATCACTTTCGAATCTTCCAACTATTGGGCAAGTGTTTTCTGCTCTACTCTCTTCGGTCTCTCCGCTCCGTTCGCTCCGCTTTCCTCGCTCCGATCTACAATGCAACAAGCCGAAAACCCGCATGTGCTTCACACTTGGTCGAAATCCGTTGACGATCTCGAACGGGGTTTGATCTTGGCACTTGGGCGATGGTAGGCGATTCTTGATGTAGATTGCCGTCATTGCTGCTTCAGCCCAAATACACTTGTCCAGCTTGGCGTAGTGAAGCATGCTGCGCCCGATTGCACAATGGTCCGAATTGCCCGTTCCGCCGTGCCGTTGGTCTGATGCGCATACGGAACGGTAACTTGCTGCTCGATTCCTTGATCATCGTAAAATGCCTTGAGCGAATTCGCCGCAAATTCTCGTGCACCATCGTGTCGAACGAACTTGACCTTGTAGTCAAACTGCGTCTGTACTGCCATGATGTACTTCTTGATGCACTCTTCGCTGTCGGACTTGGCGCGCAGACTGAAACCCTTCATACATCCGCTGCCTTCATCGACGATCAGTAGCAAGTACTTGCTTCCACCTAGCGAGTCGACTTCCATTGGACCACAAGTGTCGATGTGTAGAAGCTCAAACGGATCGTAGTGGCGCTTGTTTGGATTGCTCGGGAACGGTCGTTGAACCATTTTCCTTCTAGACAACCTTGACACACGCTTGATCCACTCAATTTTGCTGGCTTCTTGGCATCCTTGATCATGCCCTTGGAGACCATTCTGCACAAGACATCAATCGGTGCGTGGCCCATACGCGCATGAAGGTTTTCGACTCTTGGTCCTGAAGCCGCATTCACCGATCGTTGGGATGTACGAAGCCAGTAGAGGCCATCCACAAGATCGGCCATCGCTATTACTTGCTTGGAGCCTTTGTGCGAAATCTTCATCTCGTCACCATCAAACATCACTTGAAACTTGCCGCTTTTGTTGATTTGTGGTATCGAAAGCAAGTTTTTGTTCATTCTTGGGACGTAAAGCGCGTTCTTGATCTCGACTTCGCGCTCTTCACCGTTGGATAGGGTCACTTTTTCGATGATTGTCCCGACACCGTTGATCGCAGCCTTGTTCCCATCTGCAACCAACACTTCGCCTTCATTGCGCTCGTCCAGAAATTCGAACTTGGACTTTTCATAGCAGATGTGATGTGTTGCACCGCTATCAATCGCCCACATTCCAGACATACTCTTGGTCGTTGAAAGTCCGCATTCCAGCGAAACAGCAAACGCCACTCGATCATGGTCATAGTTGTTGTTGCCGTTGCAGCTTTTCCACTGAACTTGATTCGCTCCGCGTCCACGTGCATTGCCGCCGCGTCGAGCTCCCCGATTGTCTTCCTTCTGCTTGGTCCAGCACTTTTCCACCGTGTGCCCCAATTTTTCGCAGAACGTACACTGACGAACCTCACGCTCGGTACTGAAGGCCTTGGTCGCTTCTTCAGTTTTCACCGATGTCGTCTTTTTCCCTTGTCTCTTGATGTGCTCATTCGTCAGCACTTTCACGACGTCTTGCGTCCGCAGTTCCGCGCTGCTCATCTCCAAGTTCAGCACGACGTTCTCGTAGCTCTTGGGGAGGCTGCACAACAAGCAGATCGCCACGTCCTCATCCTCCATCTTGGCGCCGATGCTGCTGAGCTTGGCGCTGATGTTGAGAACTTCATTGCAATGATGCATTACATTTCCGCCTTCCGCCATCTCCATGCTGAATAGCTGCCGCTTCAAGAAGATCCGTCCAGCCTTCTGCGATCCGCCGTAGAGAGTCTTCAACCGTGTCCACGCAACCCATGCCTCGTCGCAGTCATCAACCACGTGATGATAGTCCGCGCTCATGTGAAGTAACATCAAGCCGAACGCAATGTTGTTCGTCTTGACGTACTCATCACTGGCGCGAGGATCGGCGAAGGTGGGGGTGGTCTCCCGGTTGACCACGTGCCACGTCGACTTGGTCAGGAACACGCCACGCATGTAGCGGCTCCACGTCGCGTAGTTGTCTCCATCGAATCTATCGATAGAGATCTTGGTGGCGGAATCTTGAGTAGAGGACATCGTGCTTGGGCTCATAACCTGTTAAAGTCTGAAGAGCACTGGACGAGAGAACAAAGCTTGAAGAACGCTGAAGAAGTCTGCACTGCAAAGTGTAGACGACTTGTGCTGAAGAAGGAATATTTGGAAGTGAATTTATCTGTGGGTTTTGTTAAAGCTACCTGATTTATCTCTGCACTGATTTATATGTTGTCCACATATAAATCATGAATCATAAATCATGTAGGTCATCCAATCATCCTATGCGTCTAATCATTGGTAAAAACTCACCGTAATTACGCGGGATCGACTTGGACAGGTTTACGGTTCCCATGGTAGCTGATAGCAGTACCTCAACCGTCAACCTACAATAAAAGTCGAGCTGGAATCTTGTGAGACGACGAATATATTGGTGGACGGCAAGACGAAGGGACTACTAGAACACACCACAAAGACATGACGGCGGCTCTCGACATTCACGCATGTTTGCATTGAGAGTGTGCATTGAGGGTGCGCATTGAAGGTTACTGGTACAATCCAATACTCGAGCGTGGTGCATACGAAATAGTTTTTACTTCGGTGATTACTTCAGAGTTGGTTAGACGCGTAGGGTGATTGGACGCGTGTAACTTGTTGCATTGTAGATCGGAGCGAGGAAAGCGGAGCGAACGGAGCGGAGAGACCGAAGAGAGTAGAGCAGAAAACACTTGCCCAATAGTTGGAAGATTCGAAAGTGATTGATTATCGGGACTTACTACTTACTACATGATTTATATGTGGTGTACATATAAATCATGTGAAGCGTCTCATCATCCTACGCGTCTAATCAACTATGGTAATTACCGTAAGAACTACGTCGTAAATACTAGGCTGAACAGGCGGTTCGGATTGGACCGGTCACGGTTACCAACACTGGTAGAAAACCGATGACCGTCAACACGCCCCCTCAATCCGAATGCTCACGAATCCCGAGAGCCGTCGTCATCTCCTTGTGACGAGGTCCCGAAAGTCCCTTCGTCATGATGTCCGCTAACATCACCGCAGTTTCACAATACTTGAGCTTCACTTCACCGCGCTTGACCTCATCACGGATGTGATGGTACTTGATATCAATGTGCTTGGCACGGCCGTGGTTGACCGGGTTCTTCGTCATCTTGATACATGACTGATTGTCTTCATGAATCATGAGTTCCGGTCCTTCTTCATTGGCAGCCATCACGATCTCACAAAGCAGACGATGAATCCACTTGCCCTCTTGAATCGCCAAGCTGAGTGCGATGTATTCAGCTTCAGTCGTGGACAACGAAACACTTGGCTGCTTCTTGCTGCCCCAACTCACTGGCGCACCGAGTAGCATGAACGTGTACCCCGATGTTAACTTGCGGTCGGTAAGATCACCAGCCCAATCCGCATCCGAATATCCACGGAAGTCGATCCTTGCACTTGGCTTGTAGCAAATTCCATGCGTCTTAGTGCCTTGTAGGTAGCGAAAGATACGCTTAACTGCAACCCAGTGTTCTTCTTGGGGATTTTCCATGAACCGCGACACATAGCCCACAGCAAACGCAATGTCCGGACGCGTTGCAGTGGTCAGGTGCATCAACGCACCAACAGCTTCGCGAAAAGGAGCATCGACCTTGGTAGTTGCATCACTTGAAACAAGTCGAGAGCTCATGTCGACTGGACTTGCGACTGCCTTGCAATCATCCATGCCAAAGCGCTTGAGGATATCATCGACATACCGACGCTGACATAGTGTCACACTGCCATCTTCACCGTCCAAAAGCTCGATCGTAGCCATTGCCTTCATCATGATGTCCCCACTGGACATTGTTAGCCCCGCGTCCACGACCATTGCCGCCGCGTCGGGCTCCCCGACCTTCGTTCTTCTGTTTTGTCCAGCAACGATCCACCGTGTGTCCCACCTTGCCATATTACGTGCATTGGTAGGGCTCACGCTCGGCGCTGAATGCCTTGCTTGCATCTTCAGCCTTCACCGTAGTCGCTGTCGTTGTCCCTTTTTCTCCTTGACGCTTGGCATGCTCATTCGTCAGGACTCTCACCACATCTTGAGTGCGAAGCTCGGTGCTGCTCATTTCCATGTTGAGTACCACATTTTCTTAGCTCTTCGGAAGACTGAGTAGCAGACAAATTGCAACGTCTTCGTCTTCCATCTTCGCACCGATGCCGCTAAGCTTGGCGGAGATGTTGAGGACCCTCGTTGCAGTGATGCATGACGTTCGCGCCTTCAGCCATCTTGATGCTGAAAAGTTGTCGCTTGAGGTAGATGCGTCCTGCCTTCTGCGACCCACCGTACAGCGTCTTCAGACTGGTCCACGCAACCCAGGCTTCCTCGCAGTTGTCCAGCACATGATGGTAGTCCGCGTTCATGTGCAGCAGCATCATACCAAACGCGACGTTGCTTGCCTTGACGTAGTCATCGGACGCTCGCGGGTCGGTGAAAGTCGGAGTCACTTCACGGTTGACGACGTGCCGGACGGACTTCGTCAAAAACACACCGCGCATGTACCGGCTCCACGTTGCGTAATTGTCTCCGTTGAACTTGTCAATGGAGGCGTTGCTGGTGGACGACATGGCGCTTGGGCTCATAACCTGTTGCATTGTAGATCGGAGCGAGGAAAGCGGAGCGAACGGAGCGGAGAGACCGAAGAGAGTAGAGCAGAAAACACTTGCCCAATAGTTGGAAGATTCGAAAGTGATTGATTATCGGGACTTACTACTTACTACATGATTTATATGTGGTGCACATATAAATCATGTGAAAGCGTCTCATCATCCTACGCGTCTAATCAACTATGGTAATTACCGTAAGAACTACGTCGTAAATACTAAGCTGAACAGGCGGTTCGGATTGGACCGGTCACGGTTACCAATACTGGTAGAAACCGATGACCGTCAACACGCCCCCTCAATCCGAACTCGCACGAATGCCGAGAGCCGTCGTCAAGTCCTTGTGACGAGGTCCCGAAAGTCCCTTGGTCACGATGTCCGCCATCATCACGGAAGTCTCGCAATACTCGAGCTGCACTTCACCGCGCTTGACCTCATCACGGATGTGATGGTACTTGATGTCGATGTGCTTGGCGCGGCCATGATTCACCGGATTCTTCGTCATCTTGATGCACGACTGGTTGTCTTCACGGATGACGAGGTCCGGTCCTGGTTCGTTTGCGGCCGCCAAAATCTCGCATAGCAGGCGATGCACCCACTTGCCTTCCTGGATGGCCAGACTCAGTGCGATGTATTCCGCTTCACTCGTCGACAGCGACACACTTGACTGCTTCTTGCTTCCCCAACTCACAGGAGCACCCATCAGCATGAAAGTGTAACCCGAAGTCGACTTGCGATCAGCGTGATCGCCGGCCCAGTCCGCGTCCGAGTAGCCATGAAAGTCGATCTTGTCGCTTGGCTGGAAGCGGAGTCCGTGCGACTTGGTCCCTTGCAAGTAACGAAAGATGCGCTTCACCGCCGTCCAATGTTCTTGCTGCGGATTCTCCATGAAGCGCGAGACGTACCCCACAGCATACGCAATGTCCGGGCGCGTCGCAGTCGTCAAGTGCATCAAAGCTCCCACAGCTTCACGAAACGGAACGTCGATCTTGGCCGCTTCGGTGCTTGCGACAAGCCGAGTGCTCAAGTCGACCGGACTTGCTGTGGCCTTGCACTCATCCATGCCGAAGCGCTTGAGGATGTCGTTGACATACCGTCGCTGGCACATCGTCACGCTGCCATCCGATTCGTCCACCAGTTCGATGCCCAGTACAAAAGTACACTTGCCACTGTCGGTCATCTCGAAACGCGTCTTGAGGTCGGCCTTCGTCTGCGCAATCAACTCAAGCGAGCTGCCGGTGATCAACACGTCATCCACGTAGACCAGCACGAGCACACAGTGACCGTCGACAACCTTGATGTAGAGACATGGGTCGAACGCCGACGCTTCGAAACCGATAGAGCATACGAACTCGTCGAAAGTCTCGTTCCACACACGTGAAGCTTGCTTGAGACCGTAGATCGCCTTCACCAACTCGAGACAGTCGAAGTCGCCATCCATCTCGACGCCTTCTGGTATCACGCAGTACACCTTCTCCTTCATCACTCCGTAGAGAAAGGCTGTCACCACATCGAGTTGGTCCAGTGGCCAGTCGAAATACTTGGTGATCGCGATCACCATACGCAGTGTCACGTACTTGACCACGGGCGAGAACGTCTCTGTGTAGTCGATGCCGTACTTCTGCTTGAAGCCCTTGGCAACAAGACGCGCCTTGTATTTCTCGACCGATCCATCCGCTTTGCGCTTGATCTTGAACACCCACTTGGTGCCGATCGCGCCTTGGCCTCTTGGTAGTTTTGCCGCACGGAAAACTCCACGAAGATGCATCGACTTGAGTTCCGCCTTCACAGCATTTCGCCAGTGAGCTTGATTAGGACCATTGATCGCGTCTTGAAAAGTCACATGTTCTGCTAGGTCCGTTGCTTCCACTGCGTTTGCACTTGCACGCCAAAATGTTGGAGGCGTCGAGTCGTCATCTTGATCGTAGACGCTTGCATCTTCTTCGTCATCAGACATCGTTTCTGGAGCACTTGATCGTTGTTTCTGGTGACGGTTGGAGACGTGTGCCGGCGCACTTGCTTGTTCCAACCCAGTTCGAGGGCGAGCTGAACGTGACATGCCGGGTCTTGCTTCACTCTTGCGCTTGCCAGTCTGCTTGTAGACGGTTTGACGCACGTCGTCCTCGTTGATCGCCAGGAGGTCGAGGTCCAACTCCGCATCTTCATCATCGTCACTTGGTCGGTCCATCGAAAAATCAAAAGTCGATTCGTCGAAGGTGATGTCACGACTGATCACTACTTGGTCCGCCTCAATGTCGTACACTCGATAAGCTTTTGACGCTTCTTCGTAGCCCATGAACATCCCTTCACGAGCCTTCGGGTCCCACTTCAATCGCTTCTCCCTTGGTGTCAGGATAAACGCCCGACATCCAAACACGCGCATGTGCTTGACA